TCTGCTCCTATGATGCTGCTTGGCCTGCTGTGTTCATCCAGCCCTGCACCTTGTTGTCTCGGATTCTCCAGCATCTGCAGTTCCTACTATCTCTAATATATGAGAGGTCTGTTCCTAAGTCTGCTAGCAGCAGGGAGAAGCTGTTCTTGAATCTGTTGGTGCATGTTTTCAAACTTTTGTCTCTTCTGCCCGATGGAAGAGAGTATAAGAGAGCAGTGAGCCTGTGGATTTCTCTCCCACTGAAAATGGTTGAAGTCAAAACAGTGAATGTTTTCAAGAAGTGGAGAGATATAGTCACGCAGTCATAGAGATATGCAGCACGGAAACAGATCCTTCAGTCCAACTTGTCCATGCCGACCAGATATTCTATATTAATCGAGTCCCATTTGCCAACATTTGATCCATATCCCTCTAAACCTCTACTATTTATATACCCATCCAGATACCTTTTAAATGTTATAATTGTACCCGCCTCCACCACTTCCTCTGGCACCTCGTTCCATACACGCACCACCCTCTGCATGAAAAAGTTGCCCCTTAAAAGTTTACCAGGATGCCGCCTGGACTGGAGGGCATGCCTTGTGAGGAAAGGTTGAGGGAGCTAGAGATTTTTTCATTGGAGTGAAGAAGGATGAGAGGTGACTTGATAGAGGTGTACAAGATGATGACAGGCACAGATAGAGTGAATAGCCAAAGACTTTTTCCCAGGGTGGAAATGACTATTATGAGGGGGTATAATTTTAAGGTGATTGGAGGAAGGTATAGGGGAGATGTCAGAGGTAGGTTCTTCACACAGAGAGTGGTGGGTGTGTGGAAATGCGCTGCCAGAGTGGTGGTATAATAGGGACATTTAAACGACTCTTGGATAGGTACACGGATGATAGTAAAATGTCGGGTATGCAGGGTAGTTTGATCTTAGAGTAGGATAACAGGTCAGCACAACATCATGGGCTGAAGGGCTTGTACTGTGCTGTACTGTTTTATGTTCTATGTTTTAAGTCCCTTTAATAGGGACCCAGGGCTCTTAGATTTGGAAGGAACAAAGGGTATGGGGGAAGAAAGTGAGAAGAGGGGACTGAGTTGGATGATCAGCCATGATCATGTTGAACTTCGGAGCAGGCTCGCAGGCCTCTGATATTCTCTGCTTCTATGCAACAACGTTATCTCCCTGTGTTACTGCCATCAGGAGTTTGTGGCCATGCATGCCCAAGATGGCTCCATTATTCTGTACGTCTCGTTAACCTGCCGTGTGGCCTCCCACCTCATTGGAATGCCAATATATCACCTCATACTTCTCAGGATGAAATTCCATTCGCCACTTTCACGCCCGTTCGATCAACCCACCAGATCCTTCCCAGAGTGTCCAGCTTTGTCCCTCATCGTCAACCGCACAGCCAATTGTGATATCATCCAATACTTTTATGTCTAATTCGTTGATAAATACACCAGAAAAGTGAGAAGCCCATACAGCCAAATGAAAGTGGTCTTCCAGCTACAGAAGTACCCATTGGTCATTACCCTTAACCTCCTGCAAGGGAGTCCTCACGGTGCTGCATTGTGTGTGTTCACAGTGCACCACCTGGGGTTACCTCCTCCCCTGTTTGCAGCAGTCCAGCAACTCTCCAGTCAAACTCACAGCCTGAATTGGGCCGTAGCTGACCAGTCACCTTTGTCACTGTGACAGGAACCCAGTTTCAGAGCAAGAACCATGCTGTTTCTACAGGGTCAGCGATCGAGACACTGAGAGAGAATCAGCATTGATGGTGCACTGTTCACAATCCAGGAGATTGTGTGCAAAAGCAATGTCATTGCACCCAGCAATGGGGTGGCATGGTGGCCCAGTGGTTAGCACTGCTGCCTCATAGTGCCAGGGACCCAGGTTCAATTCCACCCTCAGGCGACTGTCTGTGTGAGGAGTTTGCACATTCTCCCTGCATCTGCATGGGTTTCCTCTAGGTGCTCCGGTTTGCTCCCACAGTCCAAAGATGTGCAGGTTAGGGTGGATTGGCCGTGCTAAATAGTGTCCAGGGATGTGGAGGCTAGGTGGATTAGCCATGGGAAATGCAGGGTACAGGGATTGGGGGAGTTGTCTGGGTGGAGTGCTCTTCAGCATGCCAGTTTTGGGCCGAATGGCCTGCTTCCACACTGTAGGGATTCTATGAAGATACAAAAATTAGCCATAAACTGACTGCTTGGTTAATGTCATAGAGGGGTGGGTGGGGGGGTTCATAGGTATGGGATGTTGTCATGGTCACCTGAGAGAGTAAGTAGAGCCTCAGTTTAACAGCTCATTCTAAAAAGAGAGAATTTTTCAACACGGCAGGCATCAGCATTCTGAAGGCTCACTCAACGTGAAATGTTAGCTCTGCTTTGTCTGCACAGACACTGCCAGAGCTGCTGAGTTTTTCCCAGTAATTTCTGTTTTGTTTCTGATTTCCGGCATCCCTAAGTCTGTGGTTATTTTGTTTAGGCATCAGTGTTGTTCACATCACGGGACTGATATGATTGTTACGTTTTGGGACCATCTCAAGGTGGGGAAAATGCAGCGTATTAATAACCCTATTCTGAAGTCAGCCACCTGCATGGTTTCACTGTTAGAGATTAAAGAGGGTCCTGATGGTTTCACTGGGAACATTGCAAAAGATAATCTGAATAACTTGAGAGTCTCCAAAGTCCCATAAGAACATATAGGATATTGGGATGTGCTTTAAAATATCTCAATGATGAAATTAAAGTGGTTGGGATTCTCAAGGATAGTTAATCAGCATTTCTGCCTGGATATAAGGCACGTGTGATTCACATTGTCACGGAGATTGGTTTTGAGAGGAGGATGGTACAAGATATCTCTGACAATTCAGACAGGATCCGGGAAAGCAGAAAGATAGTGCTGTGTAACATGCAACAATGTGGTGGGAGCCCATGCTCAGACATGCAAAGATCATATTCGTGAAGAGCTCCAAAGAGACTGGAAGGCACCCTTAGTTTGCAGCAGAACAAAGATCTCCAGGGTGAAATCCTTACTGTGAGTGACCGTTGAGGCCAAAAGTTTACAGTCCAAGAAAGGGAAAGAAGAGAAGTGAACCTTCTGGAGCCAAAATTCACATTAGACTTGCTCTAACACAACTGACTGATTTTTTTTTTTTAAGGTCAATGTAAAGTATATCTGTGAAAAGTTTCCAGTATGCTAAAGAAAAACAGTAACATTCTATTTTGTAATTTAAATCATAGTACAAAAGACAATATTGAGTCAATAGTGCTTTTTGTCTTTTGTTAGAGTCAAAGTCTTAAAAATGTGACATTTTCGAATGCGAGCCCTTCAGTTGTTAACTGGAAGATTAAATTTACTTTGAAAAAGTTAAAAGATTGCAAGGACACACTGCTGTAACTTCAGCAGAGGTAAAACAGAAAGTCAGTTTGTGCTGTTGCCTCTTGGGATTCTGTCAACCTTCTTGTGAGAAGGCAGATAAAACTCCACAAAATGCACTGGCAAGCTCTTGCATCACTTTCTTAGTAACTGACAAAGGCACAAACAAACACAAAATCAGGTCAGAGAGTCACTGATCCTACAACCTTCAGACAGTAAAGGTCTGATACTAAACTAGGGCTGGCACACTGGGTTGCTGGCTAGGATGGCAAAACTGAGAGTCGTGGCATCATAACAGTGGCATCTGGATGGCATGAGGGGTGGCAGGGAGCTGGGTCTCTAGAATGCAGGGAGCACAATGGATAAAAGCAACTTTTAATTTGCATCAACTGTGCGATTGTGTGAAATGGATAAGATAATGCAGTTGCTATCGTTACCAGTGACAGGATATAACAAGTACACAATGAACAGAGTACGTAGCAATGAAGCTCTACATGCTTAAGATACTAATCTTTTCTCATGCAACATGTTTGATAAGAGAAAACCAACATTTTCCATCTTAATGCCTGACTCATTGCATCCATTACTCACCCTCTCTGCTCTTCAACGGTTTTCCCTCCAAATGCATTTTAAAGTCAAACACACAAGAAAGAATGTCAAACAGATACAGGTCAAATCATGTCATTCTCAAACCTCAAGTTGTCATTGGGTCTGGACGCATCGTCCTCCAATTCCAGCCTCAGTGATCCCTGGTCTCCATTATTCAACTATTGATAGCCATACCTTCAGACCAAGAACACTGGAAATCTCTCCCATATCCTTTCAGATTCTCTTCAAAGCTTATAATTTTAAGCAAGCCTCTATTATGAAGTGGGATTTTCAGTTGTGTCAAAAACGAAATGGGAAAATGCTGATCAGTTCAAATAAATTGCTGCTGACACACAGTGTTTAATCCATTTTGCTCTGAGCTTGCTTGTTACAGTAAACATCTTAAAACATGAAATCTTGTTGTGTCAACTTATTAACTAGAAATTCAATTATTTTGTCAAAGTTACTAGCCTTCCTTGGGATTGTAACAACTACAGTAATGACCAGACTGAAGAGGCACTTAATTACTTGAGAAGTGCATTGGGATACCCCGAGGTATACAAGGCATAACTGCCAATTCTTCCCTCGTTAAGACAGATGACTGAAGTCAAAGATGCAGTAGCGAAACACAGCAAAGTGGGAACTGAGCACTAAACAATTTGGAACTTTCCAAGAGATTTGGAATAAGATCAACTGGATGTTGAATGAAACAAGAACAGTCCTCTCCAGCCCAGAAACCCATTTTGAAACTTGTGCGATCAGACACAGGAAGTTGTGTCCCTCCACCCCCTATTCCCAACACCCCTGTGATTTCAATTTCTCAGGTGGTCCAAAGGGCTCAAAAGAATCACTGAATGTGTGGAGTACAGATGGGGTCCTCATGTCCAATGGGGCACAATGTAAGTGGAATTCAGTGAGTCCCACTCCACCACCCTTTCCCTGTGGCCAATTATTCCAATTTTCTCTTCAGAGTCTCAGCTGAATTTGGTCCCTATACTGCACTAGGGCCCAGTGTGTTCCTAATTGTCACTGGATGCTGCACGAAAATTGTTCTCATGTAGCCTTTGGCTCGTCCTGCATTAATCACCTTAAACTGTTGCCCAAAACCTGGGTTCTCTGCTCCAGAGGTCCATAAATTATATCTCTGAACAGGTTGATTAGAAAAATAGGTTATTTTTTTTTAAGTTTTAAACTGATGCCCCCTGATTCTTGAACCTTCCACCTAAGCCATTAAGGCTGTGGATCACAGAGCGATTACAATGGAAGAGGGCATTTGGTCTACTCACTCTGCATTGTATCTCCAATTAAGCACTTCATAGAGTCATACAGCAAGGAAACAGACCCTATGGTCCAACCAGTCCATGCCAACCATAATCCCAAACTAAACTAGTCCCACCGGCCTGCGCTTGGCCCATATCCCTCCAAACATTTCTTATTCATGTGCTTATCCAAATGTCTTTTAAACATTGTAACTGTACCTACATCCATCACTTCCCCTGGAAGCTCATTCTACACACGAACCACTCCGTATAAAAAAATTTACCCCTCATGTCTTTTAAAATCTTACTCCTCTCACCTAAAAAAATGTGTCCCCTTGTCTTAATTTCACATCCTAGGGAAAAGGCACCTGCCAATCACCTTATCTATGCCCCTCATAATTTTATAAACCTCTGTAAGGTCACCCCACAACCTCCTATGTTCCAGTGAAAAAAAGTCCCAGCCCCATCCAGCCTCTCCTTAAAACTCAAACCCTTCAGTCCAGGCAACATCCTGGTAAATCTCTTCTGAACCATCTCCAACTTAATAATATCCTTCCTATAGCAGAGTGACCAGAACTGGACACAGTAATCCAGAGGACACCTCAAAGTCCTCAACATAACGCCCCAACTCCTATACTCAAAGGTCTGAGCAAAGAAGGGGAGTTCTGTCTATAAACCTTTCATCTGTAACTCTGCACATTCTACCTTTTCAGAGAACTATCAAATTCCCTTTTGAATGTCTCCATTGAACCTGCTTCTACCGCACTCCTAGGCAGCACTTTCCAAACCTCAATCATTCGCCACGTTCAAAAAAAAAGCTTTCTTCCCACTCTCATGTCACTTTTGCCTCGTTGACCAATTACTTGAAATCTGCACCCTCAGCAATGGAAACAATTCTGCTTTCTCTACACTGCTTGAACACTTCCTCATTTTGAGCATCTTGATTCAATCTCCTACCATCCATGTCTCTCTTCCAGGAAGGACAGTCTCCAACTTCCCAATTCAATTCTCACCTCCCCAGACCCATTCTGCTAAAGACCGGGTGACAACATTTCCAAACTGAGGGGATTTCATTGGACGAAACTTGTTAAGATTACAGAACTAAGAGGCAGAAGATACAGATGAGCTGAAGGAACAGACTCAAGGGGACTGAATGGCCTCCTCCAGTTGGCATGTGCCAAAAGTCTGAGCGTTACTGGGTGTAGGAAGTCCCCTTGCCTTGAGGGCAACGCAGTATTGAAAGTGTTTAGAAACCAGGAGGTGTTCAGAAATAATGATGTCTTACTGCCTTGATGAGACCAGATCTGAAGAACTGTGTACAGTTTTGGTCTCCTGGCCTAAGAAAAGTTATACTTGCCATAGTGGGAGTGCAGTGGAGGTGGATCATGCTGATACTGGGGATGGAAGGACTGTCTTACGGGGATTGTTTCAACTAGGCCTGTATTCACGAGAGCTTGGAAAGATGAGAGGGAATCTGATTGAAACGTATAAATTTCTAACAGAGCTGGACAGACTAGATGTAGAGGGGATTGTCCCCAGATGGGGGAAACATCTCAGGATGAGGGGCAAACCACTTAGGACTGAGAAGAGGAAAAACAAAGTGTCTTTATTCAAAGGTTAGTGAGCCTGTGGAATTGTCAGTGACCAAATCACGGTATATATTCAAGGAAGAGACAGATTTTAAGGATATCGGGGGTATGGGGAGAAAAAGCAAGAATATACTCAAGAAAGAGGATCAACCAGGATATTTAGATTTTAAGAGCATCAAAGGGTATGGGACAAAAAAAAAGCAAGAATATAGAAACATAGAAGATAGGAGCAGGAGTAGGCCATTCGGCCCTTCAAGCCTGCTCCACCATTCTTCATGATCGTGGCTGATCGTTCAACTCAATAGCCTAATCCTGCTTTCTCCCCATAACCTTTGATCCCATTTGCCCCAAATGCTATACCTAGTCACCTCTTGAATACATTCAATGTTTTGGCATCAACTACTTCCTGTGGGAATGAATTCCCCACTCTTTGGGTGAAGAAATATCTTCACATCTCTGCCCTAAATGATCTACCCCAAATCCTCACACTGTGACCCCTGGTTCTGGACACACCCACCATCAGGAACATCCTCCCTGTGTCTACCCTGTTCAGTCCTGTTAGAATTTTATAAGTCTCTATGAGATCAAGCCCTTTTGGCCTGAACTTTAGCAAAAACAATCCTAAGCTAGTCAACGGCATTCAGTTGGAAGATCAGTCTTGATATTTCGATTTTAAGGTGTCAATGGGCATGGTAAGAAAGTGAGAATGTAGTACTGAGATAGAGGATCAGCCACGATATTGAGATTTTAATTAAGGAGCATCAAACGGTATTTGGAAGAGAGTTTGGCATAGAGGATCAGCCACGATCATACGGAACAGAACAGCAGCCTCGTTGGGCCGAATGGCCTACACTTGCTTCCGTTTTTCTAAGTGCAAATGAAAAGCATCAAAAGGATGTAGCAGTTTCCCACTCTTCCCAGTGAGGCAGCAGATGCTGGCTTAACATTCAAGGCAAAACAAAACTAAAAATCTCAAGAAGACACAAATCCGCCCACCTGCTCCCAAACTCTCGAGATCCAAGTTTTCAGTAGCAGTTCCAGCCTGGTTTTGTGGAACTTGCGAGTGGTTTTGATAGCGATGAAGATATCCCTCAGTTCCACCTTGTGTTCCCGGTCAGTGAGAGGTCCGGCTGCGAACCTGGAGTGGACTTGTCCCCTGGGCTTCCCGATATAACCCGCTACAGCTCCCCCTCCCCGGTCACTCAGCGGCTCCTCTCCGGAGCTGTGGCCGCTCAGGGAGACTGAGAACCGGCTTGCCTTCAGCCTGCTCCCGCTCCTCTCCTCTCGCATCTGGTAATCCACAAGAGCGACCAGCAAAAAAGTGACCGTGGCCCCAAATATGGTCAGAAAGATCTTCTTCAAACAGAAGCGCATCTTGCTTCCTTTTTATTTGAAAAAGTCTTAAAAACCCAGTTGGGAAATGTCCAAGAATAAAATCCAATTTAAACCGTAGGGCCACATTCTCCAGCCAGTCTGAGCCACGTTCTTTCCCTAACGTTGAAATAGCAAGCAAATGGGAAACGACCCATCAGAGTTTCAATTAAAACCCCCTCTCAAAGCTTCACTCAGTTTTAAGGTAGAATTGTGCAGTAAACATATAACAGCGTAACGATGTACAAACTCGCCTGCAGCTCTCTCTGATCACTGAGTCTAACTGTCCTCCTACCTCTCTGTCCCACCTGTGCCCTCAGCTTGTCACAACTTCTGGGACAGTTTCACTGTGTCAGAGGAGGGGTGCGGATGTGACAGGCTGGATTGGCCAATGGCTGAGGAGATGTGTGGGAGGGAGGTGGGGTCAGAAAGAGGATGAGTCCCGCCCCCCCCCCAAACCAGCCGCTTGGGGTAAGAGGGGGCATTTTTTTAACCCTTCCAGGCCACCTAGCCACCGCTTGTTGCAATGCCACAAGAGGAATCCCCTTCCTCAGTGCAAACATGGGTGGCTCAGGGGTTAGCACCGCTGACCCATGGCACCAGGGTCCCTAAGTTTGATTCCACTCTCGGACAACTGTTTGTGTGCGCTTTTGCACATTCTCCCCGAGTCTGCGTGGGTTTCCTCCGGGTGCTCCGGTTTCCTCCGACAGTCCAAAGATGTGCAGGTTAGGGTGGATTGGCCATGCTAAATTGCCCCATAGTGTCCAGGGATGTGTAGGTTAGGGTGGATTGGCCGTGCTAAATTGCCCCATAGTGTCCAGGGATGTGCAGGTTAGGGTGGATTGGCCGTGCTAAATTGCCCCATAGTGTCCAGGGATGTGCAGGTTAGGGTGGATTGGCCGTGCTAAATTGCCCCATCATGTCGAGCAATGTGCAGGTTAGGATGCATTGGCCATGGGAAATGCAGGGTTACAGGGACAGGGTGTGGCGAAGTGGGAGTCTCAGAGTGGAACAGTCTGACGATGGGTCACTTGACCCGAAACATTAACTCTTAATTACTCTTCACACATGCTGCCAGACCTGCTGAGCTTTTCCAGCAATTTCCGTTTTTGTTTCTGATTTACAGCATCCGCAGCTCTTTCGGTTTTTATTTAGTAATGTTTCCACGTCTCTTTGGAACTCAAAGATCTCTTGACTCCTTTGAACTCAAAATGAAGTCCTTTTAAATGAAAATGATGTTCTCTCAACTCCATTCCCCATCAAACACTCCAGGGATAGGGACAACAAGGGGTTAAAAATACAGATGAAAATTACTTCTCCTTGTTCGAACTGAAAATAAAGTTCCCATTATACCGAACCCATCAAACAATTCTGGGACAGGGACAACAGGGTGTTAAAATTTAAAAAAAAAACCCTGGTTCTTTCAAGGAGTCTAAAACGATTATTGGGAATTTTAAAAAGAAAACAGCCCCTGCAAGGGCACTATAGCAAAATCCAACACAAATTCAAAAAGTCAAACAGAAACTTATACGACGGAACAGAAACTTAGCGAAATTAAAATATCAGGGTGATGACGCATTCTGAAAATGAAGGAGCTGGTTATTAACTTGAGGAAGTGGAGTGGAGGGCATACCTGTGTCTGTGTCAATGGTGCTGAGGTGGAGGTGGTCCAGAGCTTCAAATTTCCGAGGAATGGTGATTACCGACAATCTTTAACCTTTAACTCCTGTCCTTGGAAAGCTGTTGGATTGTCACATGCAGAGGAGGCCATTCTGCCTATACTGGCTCTTTGAATGAGCAATTCACCCAGTGCTGCACCCTCCCCCACCTTCTCTCTGTCTCCCAGAGAATTCTTTTTCAGATAACTGTCTAACTTTGCTTTTCAATGATCATAATTGGACAGAACCCATCGCGCTTTCAGGCAATGCATCCCAGACTCTAGCCACCCTTTACTATATCAATCCTCTCATGGGATGTGGGCTTCACCGCTGGGTCAGCATTTGTTGCCCATCCTTAATTGCCCTTGAACTGGGTGGCTCGCTTGGCCATTTCAGAGGGCAGTTAAAACTCAATCATCTAGCTGTAAGTCTGGAATCACATGTGGATCAGGACAGTAGGCTTCCTAAAGGGATGAGTGAACCTGAAATAACTGCACAGTGGCCTGTATCTCATCACCAAGTCAACCAGTATTTACACGTTCACAGTATGTGGACTCTAACCAACCAGCTCAGGGTCAGGCGCTGATGCCAGGTGACTCTCTGGATCCCCTGTTTATGTGTCAGCCAGAGCACCCTTATTGGTCCAGGTTAATGAGCCTAATCAAGGATCTCATAGTCAATAAGGTCCACCTGGTTCCTTTCACCACAGAACCAGATGGGTTTTTATGACAATGGTCACTGTCACATTGTCATGTTACTGATTTAGTAATGTATTTGTTCACAAGAAACAGAGGAAACTGAGGTAAGCAGGGTAGGAAATATAATGGAGCAAGGGGAACAGCAGAGGGCAGAGGGGCGCTGGCCACCTGGGAACTTGGCAAATAGAAAGCAAAGAATATACTGGAATCAAAAATGTAACTTCTGTACCCTCTCTGGATTGCATTGGCTTGTTGGCATTGCAGGAATGTATGAATAAACAAGGTCCTTACACTTGTAAGTACCAGCCATAATTTTCTGCGGCATATTAAATTGACAGTGACTGTAAATACTGGCTTAAAAGTCAAGTTTCTGAGGCCAACCATTTAGCTAAAATGTGAGGGTCAACTTATCTAGGTGCACTATTTTCGAGGGGCTGAAATCTGTCCTCTCTAACCATCATGCTCTTTTAGGTTTCGATGCAGGCTTGGTGGGCCGAAGGGCCTGTTCCTGTACTGTAATTTTCTCTGTTCTTTGTTCTTTGACATCACTGGCTAGGCCCGGAATTTATTGCCCATCCCTGTCCCAGAGGGCAGTTAGAGTCAATCATATTGCTGTGGGCCTGGAGCCACATGTAGGCCAGACCAGGTAAGGATGGCAGTTTCCTTCCCTAAAGGACATTAGTCAACCAGATGGGTTTTTGCACCATTCAGCAAAGGCTACATGTTCTTGTCAGGTTAAGCCTTTATTCTAGATTTATTTTGAGTGGAATCCAATTTTCACCTTCTGCCATGACAGGATTTGAATCCGCATCTCCAAAATATTAACCTGGATTATTAATCCACTACGCCACCATAGGCTTGAGAAGCATAGGCACCTGAGCTGCTGTTCTGTCGGCAGTAACATCTGGTGGAGTTTGATTCCTATTCATAAATCTGCAATAAAAAGCTAGGCTCAGTCACTGTGCCCATTGGCAGAATTCAAAGCCCTCTGCGATGGCAGTGTTGGCGGTGCATTCAATCAGGCAGCTGGCGTTGTGCCACCTTCTACCCCCTGACCTCATTAAAACTCTGTCCGTAGGCCCTTGTACGTCCTTATCTCCCCACCAGCAACTGAGGCTCTTAAGTGGGCTACTGGAGGCGCAAGGATGGTGGTGGTGGGCATAGTGGTTCTGGTCTCCCTGTTACAGGGAGGATGTTATTAAGCTAGCGAGGGTTCAGAAGAGATTTACCAGGATGGAGATGGTTATGCGACGCTTGAGTTTATAAGAAGAGGCCAGATAGGCTGGGACGATTTTCACTGGAGTGTAGGAGATTGAGGGGTGACCTTAAGGAGGTTTATAAAACCATGAGGAGCAAAGAGAAGGGTAATACCAGGTGTCTTTTCCTTAGGATAAGGGGATTTCAAGACTTTAGGGGGCTTTTTTTTAAGGTGAGGGGGGAACGATTTGAAAAAGACATGAGGGGCAAGTTTTTTTACACAGAGGATGGTTCGTGTGTGGAACAAACTTCCTGAGGGAGTGATGGATGCGGGTACAGCTACAATGTTTAAAAGATGTTTGGATACGTACATGAATAGGAAAGGTTTGAAGGCTTATGGGCCAAGCACAGGTAAGTGGGACTCGTTCAGTTTGGGATTATGTTCACCATGGACTGGTTGGACCAAAGGGTCTGTTTCCGTGCTGTATGACTCTACGACTAGTAATCTGGAACTCCAGGTTATTGTTTGGGTTCGAATCCTACCAAGGCAGAGAGTGCTATTTGAATTCAGTACAATTGTGGAATTAAAAAATAAACTAGCCTAATGACAATCATGCAGTTACCGTTGATTCTTATAAAGGGCAAAATAATATCCTCACCTAGTTCATTAATGCTGTTCTCACCTGGTGTAGTCTTACATTTGACTCCAGAACCAGAGGGATGTGGTTAACTCGTTGAACAAAATGATGCTGGTAATGCCCACATCCCTTGAATAAATAAAAGAATTAATTCCCACCAAAGACAGAAGAAACTGCGGTTTCGAGAATAATCATTTAAATAGCATATCTAATCATCCCAAAGCACTTTATGGAAAAGTGTCATTTGATAAAAATAATGAACTTTAATCAACCTATTCAGACAGTTAATGGCACATCTCTGCAATTGCTGGGTTTTTAATCTAGAGACCTGATTTAATGTTCTGGGGGGGACTGAGGTTCAAATCCTACAATGGTGGACTTTGAATTCAATAAGAATCTGGAATTAAGAGTCACAGAGATGTACAGCACTGAAACAGACCCTTCGGTCCAACTCATCCATACTGACCAGATATCCTAAAGTAATCTAGTCCCATTTGCCAGCATTTGGCCCTTATCCCTCTAAACCCTTCCTATTCATGTACCCATCCAGATGCCTTTTAAATGTTGTAATTATACCAGCCTCCACCACTTCCTCTGGCAGCTCATTCTATACAAGCACCACCCTCTGCGTGAAAAAGTTGCTCCTTCGGCCCCTTTAAAATCTTTCTCTTTTCAGCGTAAAACTATGCCCTCTAGTTTAGGACTTCCCTACCTTGGGAAAAAGACCTTGGCTATTTACCCTATCTATGGCCCTCATAATTTTATAAACCTCTATAAGGCCACCCCTCAGCCTCCTACACTCCAGAGAAATTACACCAGACTATTCAGCTTCTCCCTATAGTTCAAACCCTCCAACCTGGCAACATCTTTGTAAATCTTTTCTGAACCCTTTCAGGTTTCACAACAGCTTTCCTATAGCAGGGAGACCTGCAGTATTCCAAAAGTGGCCGAACCAATGTCCTCTATAGCTGCAACATGACATTCCAACTCCTATGCTCAATGCACTGACCAATAAAGGTAAGTGTACCAAACGCCTTCTCCAATATTAATCTAATGATGGTTGTGTAACTTTTGTCAGTTGTGGGGGAGAAGACCCTACACTTGTGCTCAAAGTGAGATTTGAACCG